GAAGAGGTTTGGTTGGAGGATGGCCGCCAGGCAACTATTGATACGCAAGTCCATCATCAGGATGATGAGCCGTTTGTCCGATATGAAGCTAAAGTGCCACTTCCGGCGATTCCAGCGATTCCCCCGCCACAAGCAACACCCTTTATCCTCAATAATAATAATAAAACAAAATGCTTAGAGCCGTAGAAGAATAGCAAGGACGAAGGACCAAGGAAGTAAGTTTTATATTTTTTTTTTTGGGCGGGGAGGGACAAAATGTTTATTTACGCCGCATTGTATGTAGGAACTTACATATGGGTGAGCCTGGAGGTCCAGGCTCCAAAAACCCAGAGAGAGAGAGGAGCTGGGAGAAAGGGGCTTCCATACGGCGGGGCACACATCACACATGTTGTTGCGAGTACACACGTATGTTGCCTGCAAGCGATAGCGTCGGGACGTCGCCATTTTTTTTTTTTTTTTTGGTTTGTTGGTTGCCCTCTTTTTGGTAACGTGGCTCCCTTGCTCGCCGGCAATCTTGGCCAGCAATCGCAGGCGGCACATATGTGCAGTCATGTGCAGGCAGGCCACCCACTCTGTTTTTGGATGCGCGCCCCCAATCAATTTCCTGTCCCGCTTCAACAAACTTTGTGGCGACTCCATTTTGGCATTTGCCATTGGCGGATTTGGCCAAACACGCCCTCTTTCGAGCCCGGCGCATGCTCCATGCTCCAATCTATTCTGTTCTCTGCACAAAATGCCCGTCGAGGTCGAAAATTCGAACTGGGAGCAACCACATGCCACTCTATGCCACACATTCATGGCACATTCCCAGGCGCATCTGCTTAGTGTCAAATGGGAGCGACGGCGCCAGCGGATGGCGGATGCTTTTCAAAAAAAAAACCAATCAAAAAACCAACAAAACTCTAGATAAGATAGCTGCGAAACAGGACACTGCAAGCTGCACTTGTCAGCTTCACATCCATGTCCAGAGGAAATCCCGGCAAGAAATCATAAGAGCGTTAAATTGAATCTTGGGATTTTACGCAGCTTTAGTTTTTTAGCAATTATAATAGAGAGTGGCAGAGTGACAGAGTCCTGCATCGTAGTCCACGCCAAATCATAAACAAAACAGGCGTTAACACTTGTCATTCGACGGTCAGGAATATGTCACCTGCGTCGGGTGTGTATTCCCAAACCCCTGAACGGAATCTAACCCCGTGAATTCAATCAACACTCATCGGCCCACCCCCATCTATAAATCTCAGCCCTCCTCGTGCCAAACTGAAAACAATCTCGCATAAATTCCTATTTATGGCCCGACCATTTGAACCTTTTTGTGTGCCCGGCGCACACACAATCAAAAGTCGATTAGCATTCAGGACAGGATGGAGTACCGGGAGGGCCAGTTCCCATTCCAAATACCTACCCATTGGAGGACCAATGCCGAGAACAACAAGCTACAAATAGGCAAACGCAGGTAATCGCATTTCATATTTCAGCTACTGCTTCTGCTTTTCCCAAAAACCCGACCCAAAACCAATTTCCAACCAACCCCCTTCTCGTTTCGAAAATCTGCTGAAACACAATGAAAATATTTTGCCACGGGTGTCCAGAAATGGATGGGGATTCGAAGGATGAGGCCTGTGTGGCCTGGGTTGGCATGGTTTGTGAGCTTTGGTAGCCGTAACCCACTCTCTCTCTATCTCCGGGCTGTGTGACAAGTACAAGCCACTTGTGCGTTGATGATAATTTTCGAACCATTTTTCTGCTGGAAATGGTAACTGGGAGTTGGGTGTTGGGAGTTGGATGCTAAGAGCCACCCGGTAGAGATATTCCCGAAATCGGCTTATGTCGCCTGTGCCATTGTGCTGACATGGCTGCAGAAGTGGGGGCTTTTGTCTTACAGGATCCTCACTGGCCGCTGGGCGGTGGTAGATGGTAGATGCCAGATACGGGTCGAGCCGAGTGTCCTGCCCACTCAGGTGATTTATGTTGAATTTTAATTTAAATGCAATCAGTTTGAGATATATGACCAAAAAATAGTTCTAAAAGGACATTGAAGTTCAAGAATTAGATTTTAAATTGAAATAGCTACCTAAAGTATATAGGTTCTAGATTCTAAAAGTAAAAATATAAAAATTAAACCATTTACTTAATCTCTCAAGGAATAAAAAAAAACCATCCTTAGAATCATTAGGAAAAGCTCTTAAAAAAACCAAATTCAATTATGTCAAACATCAAGGTATTATCTAGATGCATTATCCTGGGCTAATGAGCCGCGCTTTTGCCGTGGATCCTTATCGGAAGCCAAGGAGTCCTGAACAAAAGCCACAGACTTAAAAGCCAAAATGAAATCAATTAAAATTTATCACATGCCAGTTGCTTCATTAGGACACAAAAGACGCAGCAGTCGCGTCCCCAAGGTGCAATTCGTTATCCATTTCGAGGACAATGGCGGTCAGGATGCGGCTGTCTTGTAATTTGTCCTGCCACACCGACTTGCCCTGCCCAGCCAGTTGTTATCGGCTTAAGGAAGACAATAAAACGTTGGTGTGTCTCCGTTTGTCGCTTTAAATAATAAAAACATTTGATTTGCCAACTCTGGCACGTGGCACGTGGCAGTATCTGGCAGTCGGTTGGAGTTATCCCTGATCCAGGCTGGAAATGTGCAAGCAAATCGCAGATAAAGCCAACGCGTAAATTAATGGGCGGCACGTGCTGCCCGCCTGCTTGTGCCAGGATTGGATGATGGCCTGGGTTGGATTGGCAAGGACCGGACACGATGGGTGGTCCAGGACAAGTGCCATGTGTGGGTGTATGGGAGCAGCTTATGACCAGCAAATTATCGCCTCTGTGAGGCTGAGAGAGATGACCCCCAGTGTATGCTCTGCGGCTGATAATTGAGGCGTAAATGTTCGCACACGTCCGGAGTGCGTCCGGGATTTGAGATGATACTTTGTCGTCATATTCGCAGATTTTATGAAGCGGATTTACTTTCAATCCCAACTGCGCTGGGAACACCCTCCGGACTGCTGGTTTTTAGTGGCCCACAACTGCACCACAAACAATGTTGATGATAACCCTATCAAAAATTTGAATACCAAGTCGGCAGCTATAAGGATGCAGTGCTCATTGAGGAGTCCATAAAAAGTTAATAAACCCAGCAAGTATCAATGACGACGAACAATGGAGTTTGGCAGAAAACAAAGACATGCTTTTGATTTTCCAGTTGACGTTGTGGTTTCAAAGTCCTCGGATTCAAACCTTTGACCATATGCGACGAAAATAATCCAGAACAAGGTCCTGGGATATACATGAGAGGGATTTAATATGCAATTTTTTATTCATAAATGGTTTTCTATTGAAATACTCTTTTTAAGCAAGGAATATTATATGTACATCTTTTGTTTGGAATTTTTGAAAATATTTTTATTTTAAAATGTAAAATGTTTATGAGAAATAGATCTCTGAAGGCTATAAAAAATATCCTTGAAAGGGTATTAACGAGAAACGATTAAATCCACCCCAGTCAAGTATGTATTTCCCTGCTAAACGGAGTCACACCACCCAGAAGGCGGTGGATGGATTCGCCGGGGACGTATGGCATATGGCCACTTGGCAGCATTAAAGAACCTGAAAAGGATATGCCGGCAGGACCCAAAGATGGGCTAACAATTGTCAAATAACCACAGGACATGCACATGAATGCATACCGTTTGATTGCCAAGCATATATGCGAAGCTAAAGGATAACCAAAGGTGGTAATCCACTGATGGCCGATGGTCTGATGGCTTTGATCCTTGATTGGACCTCAGGTCGCATTTGTCCTAAAGGAACATGGCTGTGATTGATGAGCCAAGAGACACAGATTCGAGGATTCCGCATCAACGATTGCTTTAATCGAGTTGCCAGAACTCCGGCTTCAAATTAAATGGTGTCAACTTTCCGGAGGACACCATAAAAACCGATGACCATAACAGATAAAGTGTTTTTTTTTTTTATGTTATTGCTACTGCGACCAGGCTGCAGAGAAACCGCAAAACAATATTTAAATTTCAAAAGTTGCCAGTGTACCAGTTAAATGAAGCAGAAGCAAGATTGTTGTTTCGGAGAAAATATTTTGAATCTGGGCTTTATACTTTTTTCTGGTCTGAGGAGGGTGGATGGCAGGATGGTGACAAAAAACATCTAAAGCATAAATATGGGGATGCCCAGAAATATTCAGTTAACATTCAGGCCAGGCCACGCCCCCCAAATCGAATTGATACTCTTGGCGGACACATTTTTGGAAATTGATCCTAGGAACGTGCTACCAACTTCGACCCATAAATCATAAATCAATAGACCGTTGGAAGGACACAAGGACCTTCCCCCTGGCTCGGTGACATCAGCGCGGGCTAATGATGTCTTAAAAAACGATTCGGCCACCGGTCATGTGACAGCAAATGGGGGCAATCGATGTCCTCAGGTCAAACGCATTATCAAAATTGCCGTTTCAGCTGCCAGAGTGCCGGAGTGCCGAGGAGATGCGCGCCGGCCTGGGAAATTGAATTTCCACGACCCTAAGTGGGTGGCAGAGTAACAATATTTTTCCAAATCGGCTTTAAGTCATGAAAAATAACCCCCGATACCCGCTGGCCCGGCAAGCCGAGTAGTAAAAAGCAGATTGCGAGGCGCGTCAGCCGTAGCGGCAGCCAGGAGATGATTGTGGAACACATGCTGGGCGCATATGATGACTGACGACGGCAATGATGAGGCCGTTTCCTTCTTATCACACGAGAACACGCATACGCCGGGCTGGCTTAGGCGGTCCAGCAACATGTGAAGCTCTCCAAGGATGCTAAGCCCCAGAAACATGTTTATTTTCAAATCATTAAATAGCTAAGATGAAGAACGGGAAAAGAAAAAGGTTCGCATAAATAATTGGTATTTTAATAAAAATTATTTTCCGGAATAGCGTTTAGTCATTGTGTAATAAAATATTTACTTATTTTCATAATAAAAACTTAACCCTTTACTAATCCTTAGAGAATTTTTAATCTAATAAATTATGACTTTATAAATATTTGTATTTAAACTACTCCATGTCGTCCGGTATCTCCGAGTCCTCAATCGTTCGCGTGGCAGGAATATAGACCTTAAAGGCAAACTTGGACTTTACAAAGGAGCCGGTATTGAGAACAGTGCAACCATGTTGGACGCTACTGAAGCTCTGACACGAGTCGCCCATAACAATCAAGTCGGGCAGTGGATATAGCCACAAAGCAGGATCGTAGTCCCAATGAACAGGCATGGCAATCGGATGAATGGGTACTAAGTGACCCTGGCAAACAATCGTCCTTGCAAAGTGCTGCTCAATTTGGGCTGTGTCCTCTGGGAAGTGCAACGTATTTCGGCAGAACTTGGCCATCAAATCAAGTCGGCAGACAACTATTTGCTGGGTGCAATACTGGAGTCGGCAGGGATTCGTGGCCATCTGGGCGCGGGGCCAGGCCTTCAGCAGTCCTGCTGCCAGGCACTCGGGTATAGGAGCCCTGGGCAAAATATTTGGTGCCGTGGGATCCTCTGATGAGGGAACTAGAATCAGGTCTGTTTGCTTCTTCAGCTGCTCGCACCCGGCTGCTAGGCCACCAAGTGCATCCAAATGATGACGCAGCTCATGGTGATTGCGGGTACTGGACGTAAAAGGTCCCATGAGTACAATGGCTTGGGGCGGACAGGAATCGTAGCCTACGAAGAGCTGACGGAGTTTCTCCATGACTACGGGCAGATCCAGTCGAACGTCGGAGAGGAAGACAATGGTGGTCTCTGTATTGGTTCGTTCCAGCTCCTGTAATCGGGGAGAGTACTTTAGCAGCTTGGCAGATTCTCCACCCCAGGTGTTGGCAGTGCCAAAGAACGCCCGACTACTTGTAGCTGGTTCCGCAGGAGGAAATCCCAAGCCATCAACTGGAAGTATGCCAAAAAATAATGAAAATTTGTTGAAGATACAAGTTGGACATGGTACCTTTCAAAACACCATTGGAGTATTTGCCCTCGGCCAGTACAAAGCAGCCCTCGCAAAAGAAACCGGCATGAAAGCGAGCGCCACTAAGATCCAGCTGGACACAGCCTGTTGGATCCTCCACGTAGAACTTTCCCTCCTTGAGCTGCGTGAGCAGGCCTAGCACTACCGCTTCTTTCATGGCCGAGGTGGCTAGTAGATTCTCGGCGAACTGCAGCTTGAACTTCTTGGCCTGAGCCTCGGCGCCCACCCCGTCCTGGATCACAGCCGGAGCAAAAAGATCGTGCCGCAGGGTCTTTTGTAGTAGCATGGCATATCGCTGCTGCATATAGTCGAATTTCATGCGGGGAGCTGTCAACAGTTTTCGTGGCTGGGTATCCAGTTCGAACTTCTTCACCCGGCTGTTGTACCGGTATCGTGGAATTGTGAACGCGTCAATCAGGGCGAACACTGTCTCTCCCTCGTCCAGACCCACTCGGTTGAGTTCGTTGATGGCCTTCTCCAAAGCTGCGCGCTCCACATGAGGGGTCGCCAGCTTTTGGCCCTGAAGATTCTCTGTTATCACCGTTAGCCATTTGTCTCGCTCGGCAGCATCGAAGGGAAGCAACTGCTCGGCCAGGTAGGTGCTGTTCTCCGAGCGAATCAAGAATCCGCATAGCTTAAAGTTGTTTGTTATGCGCTTTCTAAGTGGCAGCAATTCCGAATCCATTGTTTTTCACGAAACTCCCGCCTTAATTCGACGTAGTGTGACCAAATCAACATATTATTAAGGATGCCGGACTGTGTGTTTCAGCGTAGCCAGACTACCTTGTCTCTGAGGTGTTATCACTAACGCTCATCGATAACCAATTTAAATTTAAGCTTAGCCTAACGGAAATTAAAATATCCTTTAAGCTTTCAATTAATTATAATCAGTATACACTCACTTTCCCAATCCAAAATTGACTTGTTTGTTTTCTTTTGACATTAAATTTTTGTTTCTATTTTTTCTGTATATCCCAAAACAATGATAAATGCCTTCTGAAGATTGCGAGCGCTACAAGGACTTCCTGCCTTACATTGGCGAGTTCGGAGCATTCCAAAAATGGCTACTAGTCTGCATGATGCCCTCTGCTTTCCTTTACTCTTTTACCTACTTTGGCCAAATTTTTATGATCATTGTACCCAAGGATTACTGGTGCCGCATACGGGATCTGGAAACAAGTCCGAAGGATCAGCAACTAGCACTGGCGATTCCAAAGCTCAAAACCGGAGACTTCGACAGGTGTTCCATGTACGATTTAAAATCTGGTTGGGCTGAGAACAATATTAGTATTGCCAACGAGACCTGGCCAAAGGTGCCCTGCAGCAATGGTTGGACCTATGACAAGGATCAGCTATATTATTCCACCATTGCCACCGAGAATAACTGGGTTTGCGACGATCTGGTTTTAGGCACTTTCACCATGACTTCCTTCTTCATGGGTTCCATGCTCGGATGCCTAGTTTTGGGCTTTGTCGCCGATCATTGCGGTCGTTTGTGGGCCTTTCTTCTAGCCAATACATGTTCTCTGGTGGGTGGCTGCTGCACTGCCCTTTGCAACGACTTTTACTCCTTTACAGCCGCCAGGTTTGTGGTCGGTATGGCCATGAATAACTGCTTTATTCCGATCTACATTCTGAGTGAGTTAGTCTTATTAGCAAATCAAAAATAATAACCTTTCTTCCATCCAGCTCTTGAGAACGTGGGAGTCAAGTATCGCACCTTGGCGGGAAACTTGTCCTTGGCTCTGGCCTTCACTTTGGGTGGAACCCTTCTGCCTTGGGTGGCATATTGGAGCAATGATTGGAGGCTGTTTGCCCTGGTCATATCACTGCCTGTTACCCTTCTGCTAGTGATAGGCATTATACTTCCCGAGTCCCCCTCGTAACTCTATCCTTCAAAACAAGTGTGTTTTTTTATTCATAACTTTAAATTTTATTTCAGATGGCTATTTTCAGTAGGAAAAATTGACAAAGGAGTTAAAGTGTTACAAAAAGCTGCCAGAATCAATAAGAAGACTGTTTCCGACGAAGATTGGTCCGAACTAAGACGATGTTATGCCCTACAGTATGCCAATCAGCAATCCCAGAAAACCATAAGCTGTGTGGATCTCTTCAAGCGCTTCCGGCGGTGCTGCGTCATGATGGTTCTCATTACTTTTTGGATGATTATTGCTTTGGTGTACGATGTCCATGTGCGCGCTGTGTTTTTGATGGGTACTGATACCTTTCTCACTTTTTCACTCTCCACCCTGACTGAATTGCCAGCCGGAATCGTTCCAATGTTTCTTGTGGATCGTGTTGGCCGGAAACCCGTGGCCATGTCCGTAATGATACTCTGTGCATTCTGCAGCCTCTTGGCCGCTTTTCTCCCTGGAAAATGGGATGCTGCGATAGCTGCCATTTTCGGAAGACTCTTTATTGCCATTGGCTTTAATGTTGGCCAACAATGGGCCACCGAGATCATACCGACGGTGGTCCGTGGCCAGGGAATAGCTGTCATAAATGTTATGGGCTGTGCGGGGGCTATGCTGGGTCCCTATATCATCTATACGGAACAGTTCTATCACTCGTTTCCGATGATTGCCAATACGTTTCTTTCCATAGTTGCGGCGTGTTTGCTTATTCTTCTGCCGGAGACTAAGAACGAAGACCTTCCTCAATCCCTGGAAGAGGCGGAAAAACGGTGGACACTCTGTTGTTGTTAACAAAGGGTAAAGGGTTCATTAAAGTTCATGCTTTAGAAACATAATACCAACTTTTTCCCGTTTTCCTGTTTGAAATTTCTTTTTGAAATCCCCGTGACGTTTTTCGACTTCCGATCCAGGTGACCTTGAAACAGGTCAAGGGGCGGCATTGAATGGCAAAGCTCTGTTTTTTCTACAAATACTACAAATAAGGGAATTGATATCTTTATCTAAGTCTCATTCAAACTGAAAAAAATTTGAAAAAAATGGAACTCAAATTGCGCGCTTGTTTTATGTTTTTGCAGTATTTTTTTCTAGAAAAATATTTGGTATTTAATTTTAGTACGTTAAGGGCCACACTTGTAAATCAACTATCTGGCAACACTAGTCAGCACGTGTAAAGGAAATTCTTCTGTTTATTCCCCGCAAAATGGATGTTGTCAAAGAAGTTTTAGCCAAACACCAAAAAGAATTGGACAAATATAAGCCCATTACAGTTGAGAAGCATTTGGAATGTCGCCTGGACGTGGGAACCTTACTAATCACAGACCCCAACGACTTGGATGACCGGGAACTGAGGTACACCTCGATTCTCAAAAGGATTTCAATAGAGAGCAACAGTTTAAATGTGATTATTTATTTTAAGGGATAACAAAGAAGAGTACCTGACAGCCTTGACCCGGGACAATACGCAGCTGCTGGTAAATGCGATCTGGGAACTGCCTACGGAGCGGGTGGATGAGAGCATCGTGGCCAAACTGCCGGAACCAACCACAGTACTACCTCGGCTCCGGAAGGTGCCTGGTCCTCGGCCTCTCACCAAGTGGGAGAAGTTTGCTAAAGAAAAGGGCATTACCAAGAAAAAGAAGGAAAAGAAAACCTACGATGAGACCATGGATGTAAGTATAATCTGTTCTCCCAAATAACCTACTCTAATCTATCGAATCTACAGAAATGGGTGCCCACGTATGGCTTCAAACGGGCCGAGGCTGAAAAGGCTAAGGATTGGGTGCTTGAAGTGCCCCAGAATGTGGATCCAAACACAGATATGTTCCAGAAAAAGATTGACCTGCGCAACGAAAAGGTGGCCAAAAACGAAATTCAACGCATGAAGAACATTGTGCGGGCTAAGAAGGTTGATATGCCTCGCAGCGGCTACCTGGGACCTGAGGCGGCCTCTTCCAGTCAGCTACTCACAGCTGTAACTGTTGCCAAATCGTCAACCGCCTCTGTGGGCAAATTCCAAAACAAACTGCCCAAGGAGAAGGAGGCACGCGGACTGGGTGTGAAAGAATTGATACCAGGTGGCAAACGCAAGCAGTCACATATCTCACAGCAACCGGAAAAGGAGGCCAATCTGGACCTTATTAAGAGCGTGTTAAATAAAAAACCGAAACTGGATGTGGAAAAGGCGATATCGCTACAGAAACGTGATGATCGCTTGGCGTAAGTTTATTTCAAACACCTGTTGTAAATTTAGTAATATTTAATCGTTTTATTTTTAAACAGACGCGAGGCGGAAGGTGCCGATCAACCCGCGAAAAAAGGCAAGCCTAAGGGCAAGGGCAGTCGCAAGGCTGTGGGCAAGAAACCCAAGGGTAACCGAGGACAGAGGGCACCTGGCAAGAAGGCGCAAGCTGGACGCAAACGTCGTTAGAAGAAAATGTTTTAGGAATTTTTTATTAACAAAAAAACAACCCACACTTATGCTTAATAAATCTTAGACATAAAACAATACACTAACTAAGTTCGATAAAAACGCAAATTAACGGGGGCGGTGTGCCGATGTAGATACTCGTACACAAAATTGCGGAAAACACGGTTAAAATTACGTATGGATGGCCAGTGAAGGTTGGCGGCATTGTCGCGAGGCGTATGCCACACATCGGGAAAAGGAGTGGACACCAAATGCAAAATGGGAACATCTAAAAAAAGAATAGAATAAAAATATTCTTTTCTTTTTATGAAAACAAACATACCCTCCTCCAAGAAGGGACGATGGTCGTCGTCGACTAAGCCACCAGATACCCGATTTAGAAACATATTGTTATTTCCCTCTAGTTTTCCGGCAGCACGCAGACTCTTCTCTATTTGCACCAGGCTGGAGTGCAGTCCATGGGTATTCTCGTAGAAACTGGAGAAGGTTGGATTACGAGCACCGATCAGATCCAACAACACCAGCACTTCCTGTTTCAATCCAGTTTTAATAAGGTTTTTGTTTATATTTAATAATATTTTGAACTTACTATACGATCAATATTACGGGGGGCCTGTTGAAGTTGTCCAGCTGCTTGGGAGCCACTTCTGGTTCTGGCCAGTTTGGATGCCAGATGTTTTGCTCCGTAAACCGAATCCGCATTGGTCCAGTCTTTGAAAGCCTCCTCGCCATCAAAGAAGATAAGCTAAAAAATAGTTTAGATGGCAATTAAAAAATTAATCTGTTTAAATAATGACACTTGACAGTAGCGTTTAAATCTTGAAGTTTTAATTGGCCATTTCTATAATTTATTTACATTTTAAAACCTTTTTTTGCTTTTAAGTGGGGCAACTACTTTATAAATAACACGTTTTTAAAAAATTGTTTCTAGTTAATCATTTAAAAAACGTTTTTCAAATATGTTACACACATGTGAGCATTCTTGTCACATTTTTGAAACCCCACTCCCTTAACAGTATAAACAAAAAAACAAGTTATTCATAAATTGGGCCTGGGAATAACACATTAAATAAAAAACCCCCCTTAAGCCAAGTTTCTTTGTCACTTGAGAACTAAATTTAATTATTTTCAAGGTAAAGTTTTCAAGGTAGACTCACCATCAGTCCCACATCGTTGCGATTGCGAAACTCTTTCTGTAAATACCCGCTCAGGGTTTTGGCCGTGTTCAGCAAAATGGCACATGGCACCGCTGAATCAGTGGCTCCCACAAATCCGGGGTCATTCGGGAAGTACTTACTGTCGTAGTGACAGGCCAGAGCCAGGAAGTTTTGGGCCTGAGGATTGATTGTACCGACCACATTGGAGAACGTAAGCTCACCCAGGACGGGAACTCGCTGCTTGAACTCATCCACTTCCGCTTGGAAGCCAAGGCCGCTCAGCGATTGGACCAGATAGTCGCGTACCTGTTTGTTTTTTTAATTTTGTCATTTGTGCTTTGACGACTTTTGAATGTTATCCCCCACCTGTTGATGCCCACGGCTGCCAACGACGCGTGGCACCAAAATCGAGTCCAGAGTACGATTGAAATGGGTCTCGTCGTCGCTCCACTGCGTGGCTCCAACCTGAAATGAATTCGGGCATGTAGGTACCTCTGATATGGATGAAACTCCACCCTCTGTGATTTCCCCAATGAGTCACAGTGGGCTACCATTGTCTGCATTATCTTACGTTTCCCGCGCGGGCTTGTTGTTGATTGGTGAGTGGGACGAGGCAGAGCAGCAGCCAGCACAACATTGCCGGCCATCGGCCCAAAATCACGGATCCGTTCTCCATCTGGACGCTTTGGAGGTTGGATCGACTATGGCTACCAAAATTCCCAGCACCAGTTCCAAACACTACATTTATATTTCAGTTTCGAAGAGAGCTTTTTTACTCCGGAGTACTCTGAGCGCAATCGATGCGATGCCAGAAAATCGATCATAACCGTACGTTTTCCATTGTTTCTTTGGCGGGCCAGCATACAGAGAGCTTCTGGCATTGGATGCGGGAGAGATACTAAGCTTTGAGCTCATGCTGCTGGAGCTCATGAACTGGAAGAGACCGGAGAGCGTCTAAGCCTACGATCGCTTGGGAAAAGTAAGCTCAGGAACTATATCGACAACTTATTAATATAAATTTTAAAAAGAATCTCCATAGCTAATAGAAATGTTTTGAGATTTTGATGCAGATTGGTGGAGAATCGATCCACAAATCGTTTAAGATACTCCGCTCTAGAATCGGATGAGAATTAACAAAGATATGGCCTTCACTGTGGGCCATATTGTGCTCCAATGCATTTTCGCTATTTCTGAAGGGGATCACCAGAAAATTTGACAAAAAATCGAAAAAATACTTTGTTCTGAGATTTTGATGCAGAATGGTGGAGAATCGACCCACAAATCGTTTAAGATAGTCCGCCCAAGAATCGGATGAGAATTAACAAAGATATAGCCTTCACTGTGGGCCATATTGTGCTCCCATGCATTTTGGGTATTTCTGAAGGGGATCGTCCAGAAAATTTGACAAAAAATCTAAAAAATATTTTGTTCTGAGATTTTGATGCAGATTAGTGGAGAATCGACCCACAAATCGTTTAAGATAGTCCGCTCAAGAATCGGATGAGAATTAACAAAGATATAGCCTTCACTGTGGGCCATATTGTGCTCCCATGCATTTTGGGTATTTCTGAAGGAGATCCTCCAGAAAATTTGACAAAAAATCTAAAAAATATTTTGTTCTGAGATTTTGATGCAGATTAGTGGCGAATCGACCCACGAATCGTTTAAAATAGTCCGCCAAAGAATCGGATCAGAATTAACAAAGATATGGCCTTCACTGTGGGCCATATTGTGCTCCCATGCATTTTGGGTATTTCTGAAGGGGATCCTCCAGAAAATTTGACAAAAAATCTAAAAAATATTTTGTTCTGAGATTTTGATGCAGATTAGTGGACAATCGACCCACGAATCGTTTAAGATAGTCCGCCCAAGAATCGGATGAGAATTAACAAAGATATGGTCTTCACTGTGGGCCATATTGTGCTCCCATGCATTGTCGGTATTTCTGAAGGGAATCATCCAGAAAATTTGACAAAAAATCTAAAAAATATTTTGTTCTGAGATATTGATGCAGATTGGTGGAGAATCGATCCACAAATCGTTTAAGATACTCCGCTCAAGAATCGGATGAGAATTAACAAAGATATGGTCTTCACTGTGGGCCATATTGTGCTCCCATGCATTGTCGGTATTTCTGAAGGGAATCATCCAGAAAATTTGACAAAAAATCTAAAAAATATTTTGTTCTGAGATATTGATGCAGATTGGTGGAGAATACTTTAAGATACTCCGCTCAAGAATCGGATGAGAATTAACAAAGATATGGCCTTCACTGTGGGCCATATTGTGCTCCAATGCATTTTCGGTATTTCTGAAGGGAATCATCCAGAAAATTTGACAAAAAATCTAAGAAATATTTTGTTCTGAGATTTTGATGCAGATTAGTGGAGAATCGACCCACAAATCGTTGAAGATAGTCCGCCCAAGAATCGGATGAGAATTAACAAAGATATGGCCTTCACTGTGGGCCATATTGTGCTCCCATGCATTTTGGGCATTTTTGAAGAAAATTTGACAAAAAATCTAAAAAATATTTTGTTGTGAGATTTTGATGCAGATTAGTGGAGAATCGACCCACAAATCGTTTAAGATAGTCCGCCCAAGAATCGGATGAAAATTAACAAAGATATGGCCTTCACTGTGGGCCATATTGTGCTCCCATGCATTTTGGGTATTTCTGAAGGGGATCCTCCAGAAAATTTGACAAAAAATCTAAAAAATAATTTGTTCTGAGATTTTGATGCAGATTGGTGGAGAATCGATCTAGAAATCGTTTAAGATACTCCGCTCAAGAATCGGATGAAAATTGGAAAAGATATGGCCTTCACTGTGGGCCTTCAATTCTTCAGTTAAAGGGGATGTACTTTTAACGGCTGATAGTCGTCTTCTAGCAATGAAAGTTTCTGGAAAACATTTTTCCAGATTAGTATCCTTGGACTATCATGTCGCATATATTATTTAATCAAACATTTTTGTAATAAGTTCTTAATTTTAAAACGTTTTAATTGACTGTTATTATATATGCAGTTTTATTTGAATAAAATACATTGCCTATGTATCGATAATGCCCATGGACTCTGGTGAGGAGTACATTGACTTCCTGCACATTATCGGGGAGTTTGGATCCTACCAGAAGCTGCTCACTCTCTGTATGTTACCCGCAGCTTTTTTGTTAGCTTTCTCATACATGGGTCAGATGTTTATGATCCTCCTTCCGCGCCATTATTGGTGTCGCATTCGTGAGCTGGAGACTCGGAGCAAAGAGGAACAACTGGCTTTGGCCATTCCCAAGCTCAAAGACGGAGAGTTCGACAAATGTCACATGTACCAGGTAGAAACTAACTGGGCTGACATAAACGTCTCAGTGGCTGATGAATCCTGGCCAAAGGTTCCCTGCAATGACGGCTGGATCTATGATAATAAATCACTCCCTTATTCAACCATATCCACCGAGAACGACTGGGTGTGTCCTCACCATGCTTTTCCCACCATCACGTTTGTTGTTTTTTTCATGGGCTCCATCATAGGATGTCTTGTTTTGGGCTACATAACTGATCATTTGGGCCGGGTTCCATCCTTCTTCCTTGCAAATCTGTGTGTTTTGGTAGGAGGCAACTGGACTTCCATGTGCGACGGCTTTTACTGCTTTATTTGGGCCAGATTTGTGGTCGGCTTCGGTATGAACGACGGGTTTGTTTCCATCTACATTTTAAGTGTGTTATTTAAAATTATTTTTAATATATTTATGATAATATCTGGCCCACTCAGCTCTGGAGAATGTTGGTAATAAGTACCGCACTTTGGTGGGAAACTTGGCGTTAGCACTTGCCTTTACTTTGGGTGGAGCTCTTCTTCCTTGGATTGCATTATGGTGCGGTAATTGGAAGTTTTTCAACCAGGTGATCACGCTGCCTTTTACAATTCTTATATTATTCTGTTTGTTTATTCCCGAGTCTCCCACGTAAGATGTACAATGTAGAAGCTATAGCACTTAACCAGAGAATTATACATTTTAGATGGCTTCTTTCGATGGGAAAGATCGATAAAGGCATTGAAGTCCTTAAACAAGCGGCGAAAATGAATAAGAAATCCGTTTCCGATGACGTGTGGTCTAATATAAGTCAACGTTATACATCTATTTATGATGACCAGAAATCGCAAAAAACCTATAGCTGGCTGGATCTATTCAAGAAATCTCGCCGTATTAGGGTCATGATGATTATCATGGTATATTGGTTTATTTCTGCTGTGACCTATGAAGTTCATATTCGAGCGATTTTCCACTTAGAGGCTGACCAGTTCCTGATCTTCTCCCTTTCCACGCTGACAGAGTTGCCGGCTGGAATAGTTCCTCTTGTCCTTCTGGATCGAATTGGTCGAAAGCCCATGACAATATCCGTAATGTTCCTGTGTGCAGTGTGTAGTTTATTAGCCGTGTTTGCCCCAGGAGTGTTTTACGAAGCCATTGCTGGTATTTGTGGAAGGTTCTTCATATCTATTAGCACCAATGTTGGCGATCAATGGGCCGCGGAGATCCTACCCACGGTAGTACGTGGCGAGGGAATGGCAGTCGTTCATGTGATGGGATGTGTCGGTTGCCTGGTGTCTCCCCTTGTGATATACACAGAAAACTGGTACCGCAATCTGCCCATGATGATAGTCACATTAGCATCCGCAATCGGAGGGTTTATTATATTATTCCTTCCTGAAACAATGGACGTAACTATGCCGAGCACGCTGGAGGAGGCAGATCAACGCTGGACCCTTCGTTGTCGGTCATCGAAAGGAGATGGTAAAGAAAGATAATATTAAATTATGAACACCTTAATGACAACACCTTAAATCGTTCTTTTTATTTTACTACAGTATTTATTGGTATTTTTCCGGTTAAAAGTATGTTTTCTGGCAGTTGTCTGAAATATTCCTATTCAATGGTTAGGAAAGCTTCATTAAGTCTGTCTTTAAGTATCATGGTAAATATGAAAGGTATCATCCCATTCGAACACCGAGTTGTCCAGAACACCATGGACAAATTTTTGCATTATCTTGATCATATTTGAGATAGTGGGCCAATGCAGCTTGTCGACATTATCCCCTGGCGTATTATGAAACTCTAAGAAGTGCTCAGGAGCTATATTTAGCACAGGGACATCTTTAAATAAACGAAAAGAAGATAAATTATAAAATTGGAGAAATTAATATTGAAATTTTAGATTACCGTGTTTGTAGAAGGGATAAAAGTCCCCTTGAAGACCATAATATTGAATCGGCTCCTTTTGAAATAATATATGAGAGCCCTCTATCTCTCCCGATGCTTGTAGCTCCCGTTCTATGTCAGCAATCTTATCGTGAAGATAATTGGTTTCCTCAAAACCACTCTTATATGTTTGATTAGCTGCTCCAATAAAATTGAAGTGGATTAAAAGCATCTGCAAGGGGGCTACTTTCTAAATTATTTCTAAAGACTGTTTCTTAAAACTTACAATTTTATGAAGTGGAATTGGTTCATTCATAATAAAGTGACGTGATCCCCCGTACACATTCAAATCTACATGGTACTTCGGCAAAGGTTTGTAATTATCAAAAAATACTAACTAAAAAAAAAACATTAAATTTGTACTATTAAATGAAAATTTCATACATTACTTACAACAATACCTATATCTGGTCTCGATCTGAGACTACTTCTTAAATATGGTCCCAATGTTTTGGCCACATTCAAGATAATAGCACAGGGAACAGCTCCATCCGTGGCTCCCAGATATGTCGCGTTATCGCCCTCCCCAGGATTTTGGCTATCGAAGTGACATGACAGAACCAGGAACTCCTCTGCATTTTTATTCCAAATACCCATCACATTAGTAAAATAGGCATCCACGTAAAAATCATCGGCGATGGCGGAAAAACCCAACTCTTTAAGATGAGCCATCAGGAAATCAATAACCTGCTCATGTCCTAAAGCACCAGTGTAACGAGGTTTTAATAGCTGTGCTAACGTGGCATTGAAGTGCTCCATATCTTGGATAAAATTAAAGGTTGGTTCCTTTTCTCTCATTTCGCCAAACAAAATCAAAAGAATGAAGTATATGAACATGGTAATTAATGCAATCTTCAGGATCATTTCGACGGGTTCTGTTTGAAACTAAAAATAAAACTGAGTCCGTTTTCAGAGAGAAAAATGATGTTTCTACAAGTTATTGCCATAACTAAACAATTTTTTACGGATTTAAAGTAATAATTTAAAAGAAAATCCAGTTGCAAATAGTCGTTTACTAGTAAAACATTATACTATCGCCTTCATCTTGATACATAGCTTTACTTCGAAGCGGAGAATCCAAATCTTGGACTTTAAGATAATCGTACACAAATTTCCAAATATTTTAATCATATTACTTATCGATGGGTAATGCAAATATTCCTCAATGTTTGCTGTATTGTGATGAATTTTTTTGTTTATTTCCGAAGAAATATTATATAAATAATATTCGTAAAATTGTCATATAAATAGCGCTCACGGCCCACGCAATCCTGGCCAGCATCAGCAACAGGACCGCCTTCCTGGAAAGACAACTACAGAATGTTCTCAGAGTTACACGTGCAACAAATGCATTCGCCAAGCCAAATGGAAAACTTTTAATTAAAGAGAGGTATGAGAATTCCCAGATCTAATATACTTGGACAACGAGGTATACCTCCTTTTTCATAGTATTTACATCAAAGTAAGTAGTAAAGTAATTTTCTTGACAATGAGCTGGGAATTGTATTAAAGATACTGTGTTGCAGGACTTTTTCCTAGAATTCATTATGAAATCATTTATTTGTTATCTAGGTGTCTATATATATTAAAGGTTACTATTTCAAACAATACCCTTTAAATAAGAAAAGACCCTCTAAGCTATTAAAAAAAGCTATAAAAGAACATAATTAAATCTACAAGTTATGTCTCTTCAATCAATTGTCACACACAGTCACTGGTATTGAATTGTATGGTTCTGATCTCCCTTTCGCTGAGCCTCTCGTGACTGGAAATGGTGCTGCTACGCTGCAGAACGTAAACCGTGTCCGGCCTGTTCACATGGCGGTGTAGTTTGGAGGAGCGGTACTCGTCCCGCGACACAGTTCTCAGGGTGGAGCCCATCCGCGAGTGCCTGGGATGGGATTTTCGACGGCCGGGACCGCAGCAGGGACTGTGCCAGAACCTCTGATCCTTGGCGAAATCTTCGCCCTCGCTTATAGTTTCGGGCAACTCGTGGTTAAGGGTCTCCGGCAGCAGCAGCGACACCAGTCCTCCGAAAAGGCCGATACATCCAAGCACCAACAGCATCGGGTAGACGGAAAAGTGGCTAAGGTAGATAATCGGTGGGGAACCTAGCATGGCAACAAAGCCCATTGTGTGAATGAAGGACACTCCCTGGCCACGCACCACCGTCGGCAGAATTTCGGCCGCCCACTGAAGTCCTATGTTGAAGGACATGCTGGCAAAGAACCGACTTGCCAAAGCGCAAATCTTCATGAGTGGCAAGGTTTTCATTCCGGAACCGATCAGGCTGAAGACTCCACTGAAGGTGGTGAACGCAAAGGAGCTCCAACGCCGCCCAAATCGATCGAGGGTCAGGAACACTAGGAAATAGCCAGGCAGTTCCGTTGCACAGGACAACGTGAAGTAGACAAATAGATTCTTCGTATCGAGGACACTGGCCACCCGCACCTGGCCATCGTACACCAGCGATATGGTCATCCAGAGAAAGATCAGCAGGATCATAAAGCGTGCCATGCGGCGCCGCCTGAATATCGAGAGGAAAGTAAATTTGCGTCCCTTTGTCTCCTCTTGGTAGAACTCCGCACAGCTCACCTTGAAGTTGTCGAGCACATCCGCCGGCACCACTTTTCTGTTCTGCCGCGCCGCCAACTTCAGGAGCTTCAGCGCCTTGTCAAAATTTCCCCTGGACACCAGCCAGCTGCGATCGGAAAACGTCTGGATGGAGGAAGCTCATGACTTATGGTTTGGTGAGTTGGATACCCACCGTGCCGATTCTGGCAGCAGGAAGTAGGAGACCATTCCAAAGATGATAGGCAGACATCCCATCAGGGCGAACCTCCGCCAGTTGCCGACCAACAGAGCCATCCAGGGCATCAGCATCGTAAATGGACAGTAGAACAAGGCCAATGTTAAGTAGGCCACCACTGTGCGATAATTTGGACCCACATACTCGTGCACTTTGGAGGAAGGCTCTTAATAAATCCGTAAGATTAGGAACATCAAGTGCTTACCCACAATATATGCCATGGTGAAGCAGGTGTCATACGAGGCCCCAACAAGCAATCTGGCAAGGGAAAATGCATAAAAATTCGAGGAGGCCGCGGTTGCCAAACTGCCCAATATGGCCAGGGAGCAGCTACTGACCAATGCCCCCAATCGTCCGACATGGTCGGCAAAGTACGGATAGCCCACACACCCCAAAATAGATCCTACAAAGAAGATGAACTGGGAATACGTGGCGTACATGTCGTTATCGCACAGCCAGCCAAATTCCATGGTGGCCGAATAGAACCGCAGGTTCTCCTCCTCAAAGACGTATCCGTACTGGCAGGGAATCGTCGGCAGCAAGTCATCTACATAATGTGTGTTGTTGGCAACAGAGGCATGCATATTGGTATAGTTCCTGTCAAACATCCGGCAACGGCTAAACGATCCATCCGTCTCCCGGGGAATCGAGAGCTGCTTCCGCAAGTTCTCGCCAGGAACCAGGGTCAGTTGTGGCACGAAGCAGTAGTACTTGTGGGGCTTCAGGGTCATGAATATCTGTCCCAGGTATACAAAGGCAGCGATGTATCCGAAGGGGATCATGTACAGAAAAAGGACAAACTGGAAGCGACCAAACTCGCCAATTACCGGAAGCAGGTCATCGAAATCGAAGTAATCAGGCCCATCCCACGAGAACGAAGGCAGCATATCGGGCGGACTCTGCCACCAGGAGCGATTGGAAGAATCATCAGCGACTTCGTCCGGCTCCACATAGGTCACATTAACTTCGTCATCGTCGCTCTGCCCCGGCCTAATTGGTGCAGGGGAAAATCGCCTAAAAATTTAATATTTTATTGCGATTTCACATTAAATATGCACTTAAAGTTTTCAAACATACGGTTTTCTAATACTCTCTTTCTTTTTCTTTTCGTTTTCATTGTCATCCTCCTCGTCCTGATCTGATCCTTTACGATCTTCATTTTTTGACATATTACCAAATCGAAAGAAAATTTCGAAAAATCCTAGTTCTGACAATTAAATCAGTTTCAATTGATTGGATTGCTACAAAGATAGAATGGTCTTAAAGACCTTATAAGTTATTGAAATTAATATACATAGATTTCTCAATATAATTTAATATTGTATATGTAATTTGAAGACTGAAAAATGACTATGTATTCCAAAAAAGTAAGTTATAACAACGTTGTCTATCAGTCCCTTATCCGCCATAATGAGTAAGCCAATTTTCGCAGAGTAATCCTTTTTCCAAACGTTTAGCCTCCACTGACAAGCTGAACATTTTCATGATGACTTGATGATTTTCCGACCCACTACTTTTCCGGCTTTCCTATTCATTTCCGTTCAAGTAGCCGCAATTGGAGCATAAAACGGGGCATTCTCTTCCCTGCCATTCGACTCCTTGGCGCCAAGAAACAATGACTCCTCGGTATCCCTTCGCTTTGATCCACGTTTTCCCATTAATTAAATACTTGCAAATCCAATCGTTTGCTAATCCATAGCATCTATTTCGTGGTATTGCCAAAGCCAGCTCAGCTTGTGGCTAATTACAAGAAAATTCGGTCAACCGCTGCCAGGATGCAAGGAGTCTGCCTGAACCGCCTGTTGCTTTTGTTTCCTTTACTGGCGCATGCGATCTGCGATTTCGAACTTTCATTCATAACCAACCATCACCGAATCATTCGAAATTGAAACCATTTGCCAGACTTCGCCGGAGGAGCTACACCAGTCCCGATGCGACTTTCAATAACGACGGTTCGAGGACGGACACTGTGTTATGGAAGCCTACACTTTGGGCCACATAAATATGCCCGGTCATGCCACATAAATCAGTGTCATAAATCTGTGCGTCTTGTGTACGGAGTTATGTGTCAGTGTCCCGAAAAAATCCAAGGCTACGCATAGCCACAAAATATCCTAGATTCTTATCTGCGGAGCGCCAAATAAAAACTAATACGGGGAAAACAACTAAGAGCAGGGCAAATTAAGTGTTTCGGCGGGAAGCCAGATAAAGTGAAAGGCACGCTGCGCGCGAAAGTGTAGAACGTCAAGTGAAAGTGGCGGCTGCCGATCCCTTAACAACACCCCCAAAGGAAAAACATACTACTATACATACCCCTCCAATCCCTTGACGTGTTTGGAATGCTTATCCTCGAGGCGTGAGCATCTGAAAGATGGCCATCCTGGAGTCGTGTTGCTTTTGGAAGGATGTGAGGAGTGGAAGCTTTGCCTGTGCCATCTACACTCTGGTAGGTGACTTCTTGTATGAATAATTGCTGAAGATAAAAAGTGGCCTGGCGGCAAAGCAAGTGTGTCAACAATTATACGAAACTTTTTAAGCAATTGAAGGAAGTTTAAAGCTTTTTTAGTAAATTGTATATGCAATCAAAATATAAGATACATAGTCATTTTTGCTACACATTTAAATCAAATATTTGTTTAACAAAAAAAAAAAAGAGAAAAACATACTTTTATATTACATTTTTCTGCGAATTTAACGGAGAAATAAAGACCGAGTGAAGTCTTAGAGACTTTAAAGGCCAAGTTTAAAGAAAAGAGCATTGCTTCTAACTCTACTATCGTAATATTTATTTGAATTTAAAATATTCAGTATACAAACCCAGAATTTAATTTATTTTGGAGAGTATTTATCAAGCAATTATGCAAAAACTTTATGAAACTATTACAATTAACTTTTCTATAGTTATTATTTGTTAAAACGACCGAAAAAAGGTTTAAAATAATTATCTAAATATGAGTTTTAAACATAGCTCCTCCTTAAATAGCAGATTATAACCGCAAACCTAAAAATACATTAATTTGGGATCTTATTACAGAAATACCTTTCCTTTTATGTTCTTATAAGAAATTCCTTCAAACGTTGTTTGTCAAAAATACCGAAAATAAACCGAGGGGCAAAGAAAATTAACTAAATTCTTAAGAAAATATATTGCCGAGCATGCTTCTTGAGCAATTACAGCACTCAATTGTCACTCGAGGAGGATTGGGTGAGGGTGTAAGTCCATTTTGGGGTACCACCCACAAACCCTACTACTACCTACTAACTCACAAAAAGGAGCCCCAAACCTTATGTCCCCAAAATGATTATGAGTTCCCTATTTGTTTTGGCGCAATTTACCATACAGGTTTACTTCGGATTCTCGACGCTGATGTTTTTGTTCTACCTGCGCGAGGAGCAGGAGTTTCTACTGGGCCAGAGACCCCAGCCGATGGGCGAGAGTCTGCTGGAGAAGGGTGACGTGACTGTAGGTGAGGATACATATATGTAGTTTCCATGTAGAGCTCTCCACGAGCTCCAGTATCCACTCGGCCCGGCTCAATTACGTCTGTGATTTATGCCTTTTGCAGTGACTGTGATATTCAACGTTTTGTTTCTCTTTTGCTCGATGCTGATGGTGCTGTCCTCGGTGCTCCTGATTGTGGGTCTCCAGCAGGTGAGTTTGTGAAAGGATACCATATTAGGTTCACTACCATCTGTAGATGGATTTTTGCAGAACAAACGACAATTTCTGATACCCTGGATTTTCTTCATGCTGAGCGACCTGCTTATCGAATGCTTCCACCTGCTCCACCTGACCCTATCCCGCCGCGTCATATTCGATCCGATTGTCGGTTTCATCTTCACCATGGACTTTTTTATCCTGTGCCTAAACGTAAGCTTTAAAATTAAAGCGCTCTTAAAGTCAATATTATATATTTTTTAACTCATTGAAGCTCTACTGCTTACTATGCGTGATTTCGCAGTACCAGGAGTACCGAAGACACCGGGCGGAGTTGCAACAGGCGGCCAGTGCCCCGTCGGTAGGTATTCGGTGAATGTGTTGTGCCACCCCCAGTATGCTTACCTTCCCTCCTGTGTACCTCCTGTGTGCCTCCTTCCAACCCAAAAGCCTATTGTGGTCTTCACAGCTGCCGAGAAACTAAGCAAGCCGGAGCAGCTCCAGATGCAACAGCAGCTACAGGAGCATCAGAACCAGATATTGCTGAACCAGCTGGAAGCCGGATCCGGAAATGGTAAACGGAATTCCCGACGAATGCTCGGAACAGGCAGTCCACTGATCACCTCCCAGCGCCTCACCAACTTCTCCACCATCACCGAGGAGGAGGAGCAACATTCCCGGACAGGTGGGGCATTTATTAAAGCGATTTATGTGCCCCAGTTAATATCAATTTATGCGTTACAATATTCTCCTATATTCTTTGTCTAGGACACATTCCGGAGCAATCCAATACTGAGCAACTGTCTCGAATTCCAATTATAACCCATGCATCCAGTGATGCAAGCACCATTCGTCACTAAGCCAACGTGACAAGGAGAGATTTAAGTCAACAGAGTCCACTTATTTTTACAAAAACTGAATGAAACTAAAAAGTCGAATAAAATGGAACAAAAAAATTCCAAAACATAAACCCTTTTTGGGCTTCAGTTTCTATTCTAGGTGAAGATTTAATTTTTCTCGTCTGCCTGCCCCACTTTGATGCAACAAAGGATGTATGGAAAAGCAAATACCTGGAAGTCATGAAAGTCCTTTCAATTACAGCGTCTTTATACCTAAACAATTCGGGGCAAAATCAGTTTTCAGAATAGTTGTACTCTCATAAGGGAAAATAATATATACTTTACAAACACATCTCCCAAACTAAACAGAAAAGGTAAGTCAAGGGTGGTTCTTTTAAATTAGAATGTCTGCTTAAAGCAACTAGTTAGTCATGCAAACACATAACTTTTCATTCACCCACAGACAGACATTCTAAAATAATTATTCAAATCTTAGCTTCCACCCAACCAGACAGCCGCAGTTCAAAAGAACCCTAAAACAACAGAAAAAAATTTACTTTTAAAACCTAATTAGTTTTTGAAAAAAAGCTGACTTGACCCAGGAGGGTTCAAAGTTGTTATGGGTTCGGGTTAAGTGGTTTTAGTTGCCAGATAATGATATTCAAATTATGCTTTAATGTCCTAATTAAAAGCACTCTTTGTCAGGATAAATCAAATTGGACTCTGCAGTAAACAGGATAACCTGTGCAATCTAGCAACCCAATCCCGACGGAAGCAGTGCCATTAAAGAGCACTTAATCACTTGGCTAAATTGGCACTGTTAATTAAACCCTCAGGTGGAGAGTTACAGCCTCGAAGTGGACGCATGGCTTAGGGACACGGATTACAGTATAGACGACACGGGACACAGGCCACGGACACAGGACATCGCGCTACGGTTGACGATGACAAAGGGTCGTCTGTGGAGCAGCCACAAAATCGGCAACTGTTGTCCTGCTTTTTGACTGGAAAAAGGCCATGCTGTGGCAGATGATGCCCGTCCAGTGTCACTGGTAATGCGTCACTGAAAAAAAAATCCATAAAAGATAGTATATTTCAATTTATAGTGCCAAGCTTATGCATCCTAATATATACTCTGCAAAAATCAATATGGCTTTAACATCCTTGGTTTCATTTTTATTAAATTTTACAAAATCTTATAATAATATTTTTTCATGTGCTGTTGGCCGAATATAAACTTCCATCAGCTTGCCCGCCATTGTAGGACTATTATTACTTTTTTTGTTGTTTGTCAAAAGTCGCATTTTGTTCTCAAATATTGACATAGCCACAGGCGGCAACATTCCCAAAAATCCATCATAAAAATAGAAGGACATCGGACTGCAAAGCTACAAAGTCAGACAAATCTGGCTTAATGGATCCTAAGTGGCAGAATGCAGTGCAAAGTCTGCTTTTGACAAACATCGAGAATACTCGAATGATTAAAAGCTTAAGAGCTATGCAATTGAATTTAATATTGTAATTTTAAGGTCTTTAAAAAATGAAAAGAGAAAAAACTACTTGGCCACACAATTAAGCTTTAAATTCTTTGATTCTGTGGTTGGCATAGAAAATAGAAAAAAATAGATTTAATTTAATTAAATTAAATGAAACGAAATTAATTAAATCTAAACGCTTGAGGGATTTTTCAATGGAATGTTTATTAAGAGCCCACTATGCCTGTTCCATCCAAAAATATCGACTTTAAAAAGAGGGCTACAGCTATAAAAACTATTTAAAATGTAACTCAAATATTTCAACAACAAAAGAATACAAAATAATTGAATATGCACGTGGCTTTATCCACATAACATTTTTTGCATTCCTGGTATTACAGATTTTATGAACAGAATATATGCATTTCGCGCTGCAAATCCTGGGTATTACTCTCGACTCTTTATCAAAAGAAAACAGTTGTTGGCTTTCAGGACTCGACGCTTTAAAGTTGGCATTGTGCGGCACTTATGGCAGCATATCCTTATATACCGCAATACAGGGATACACACTACACACTTACACTCACAAGAGGCAATAAGCACACTTACACAAAGCAGAAACACCAACGCTTTCTATCTAATTGCTAGGATGGCTGAGCTCTACTACCTCTCCTGATTCCCGAGGATAATGAGTTTTCCATTAGCGCCTGACTAGTGGCAATAGCAATATTTGCCCAACGTCTTGGCATGCTTAAGTGAAAATTCAATTAAAGCATAAGCGAAATCAAGTGAAAGTCCTGGCGGGGCTTTCACTTTCAGGACAAACTTTATATCCCTTGATTGACTTGCAGCGGTGGCCATCGAACTTGGTGGACCTGCATGTTCAATAAACTTTAGAAGGATGCAAAGTTTTTGGCAGGAAACCAAAAAGTGAAACAATGGCTGTTCAAGCCATTGCCGTCAAAAAGCGGCAAGTTCTTCCTCCGTTTGGGAGTAAAGATATTTCGGATTAAATTAAATGTTGAAATTTTAAGCAGTTTCATAACTTTTCCCATCCCCACCCGTCGATGGCTGATGGAAAGACTCGTCCTGTCGCTCGCAGGCTTTTCTGGACTTTCATTTGATTTATGGCATATGACAAGTGGGAAAAGTTATATATATATATATATATGTATATACATATGAGTTTTAAAAGGCAGGAAGTAAAGTCCTGAAGCTTGACAAAAGTGGCAACCGCTTTGTCACTCGCCGTATTGCGTATACGCAGTGTGGTGCGGCCCGGTATCAGGAATCTTAAACGAGAAAATTTATGTAGATTTATGTTCGTGTGTGTGTTTATACCACATCAGAGCCGCTCATGCAAACGTGTCTATATACATTCAATTAGAAAATTAGCATCCAAATGAAGCTAATTCACGCACCGGGAGGAAACCATAAAAGATGTAAGACTCTTAATGAATATTAAATGATGAAAACAATTTTGGCATCACATTCCGTTTGCCTATTCCTTTTCAATGGAACGTTTCCCTCTTAAAGTTTGTCCTTTAGTTTATTTCCATGGGGGAAAGCCTTAAGTAGGACCTTTTCCTTTCCGGAGACTTATAAATGACTTTAATAACAGAGCCCTGCCAAGTGTAAACTATAAACAGCTTTGGACTTTAAGCCTCCTTTTGGTCCTTTTAGGGCCGCCAACAAATTTGTAGAGGCTCATACGTCGGTATTGAAGGCAAAATAATTAGGACATAAGTCGGCAAAGCATTCGCATTAACGTGAAACTGTTTGTCAGCAATAAATCGTCAAAGTAAATTACGTGGAACGAGGCTCAGACATCAATCTTGGGGCTTAGATGACACCTCAGGGCGGAATCTTCTTGGGGAGTAGGAGTTTGTTTTGGAAATTAGGCAGATGCTTCACATGTGAGTAATACGGACTGAAAGCTGGCATTATATTTCCCTAAAATGGTAAGCCAATTTTAATTGAGTATCTTTTTTTCTCGCGCTCCTCTTCAAAGCAAAAGCCCGAAACAAAAGCAAACATCTGACCTTTTTCAGGCGGCAAGGCATTAGCATGAAAAGGGTTGGGACCATGTTCTTTTGGACCCGAAACGGAGGTAAACAGATTCAGGTTTTTTCCGCGTCTTAACAACCCACTTGAAACAGAGAATTTTGTTTTCAATAAAACTCCTTACCCAGCCGCTACAAATTAAATTTATTTACTTACACTTTAAGCGGTTCGTGAGATTTTAATTTCTGATTTAACCAGCTTTCCTTGCGATAAATAAATAACAAGAATATTTTCTTTGCATATACCCTTTTCAAAGTGCAATGGATATGCATATATTGATATGCATACCATCATATTTTTCTTAGCCTTTACCTTTTATATCTTTTATCAAATATACCCGACTGATTGAAAGGGTAAAGGAAAGACCACAGCTGAAATAGTTACCAGGACAACGATCTGAGAGTAAATAAATCCGCAAAAGAGCAGTGGGGTGTAAAACGATTAATATTTCTGCAAGCAATATGGAAATTGGAGAAGGACGAGTGGGCAACTCTGAGGTTGAGTCCATTTCTTGAAGCATTGAAGCCGTAAGCTTCATAATTTAACTCAATTAGCAAAGAATTTGAAGCATTTAATTCAATTATCCATAATCAATTGGATGAGAAGACGCTTTAAATTGTTTATTAAATAGTTTCCCAACTACTTTCGAGGGAGGAGTGAATTAATTGTAGGAATAACAATAATTTCCAGTCGAAAACTGGCAAGCTCGCAAGAAAGAACAACACTCCCGTCTGTTGATCTTTCATTAGAAATGCCCCGATGTCAGTCTAGTTATTTGGCTTGTTTATTCTGCCAGCTGGTGTGTTTGCATTTGAATTTCGCTGTCAAAACTTTTGGCTGACATCCCGAGTGCCACTTGACATTTTTCGGCCAACCACGGTCTCGAGGGAAAGTGGTTCCCAGAAGCTAAAGGAGCTGACGAGGCTGGACTCTCACTCAACGTTTTGAATCGCAATATTCCTATAAATGATAAATCGACTTGAAGTGCTTGAGCTAAAGCTAGGTTGACAATTGTGATATGCCATGGAAATAGAATTGTCGTGAAGCGTGAGCATAAGAAATAAGCTTATTTTCCTAAGACTTTACAAAGTGCTTTAAGGATAACTTTCTGGTTATGAGCCGAGACCGGATACTGAGAGGAAGACGTAAAGGAAGTCCTTTTTATCATCTCTCTTTTTTTTCTCTGAGCCGTGTTGGGTTATTCCAGAGTTATTCCCAATATTTGAATGGCTTTTACGTGCCCTTTGGGTGACATTTGCGGATGCCATTCGCCGGCGTCCATATCCGCGTCCATTAGTTTCAATCAAATTTCATAAGCAAACAAACAGGACCAATAACCTGATGTCTGAGTGCGTGTGCTTATGTATATATTGGTATTAGCATGCATGATAAATAATAAACATATTATAAATAGCTTTTTTCCCATGGAACGAGTTCGTTTCGGCCATCAATCAATGTGCGAAAGGCCGTTGGCTTCTCTTCCACTCGCCTCGAATTACTCAGCCAACATATCCCACTCGGATTTG